TGACGTTTAAGTTCATTTGCTATACGCTACGCCCTACGTCCAAATTTTCAGAACCAACTTGACCACGTTTTTATTTGAACGCTCGTTATATTTTTTATAATACATGGGAAAATAAAGAGAACATTTTAAACTTCATAGTATAAACCAGTAATAAGTTTAATATACCTAATTAAAATGTTTTTAATAAGTTGTAATCTTAAATTGCATAATATTTTTCTTGACATTTAATCAATAATTTTGTTTATAGAACAGATGGTATAGAAATTTCCTGTTATTCTATTGGTGAGTTATTATTGAGTCTAAACTAAGCTTAAATGTATAAAACAACATTTACATTTTGTTTTTGTCACAATTTTCTGTTTTTTTTTTTATCCGGTTAGACTAATAATCATCTAGTAATTATTGGCTATTATACGAGGGTGGTCTGAAAAGTTTCCGACCTCAACATGAAGATGGCAGCACTCGTAAATAAAAGCTCATCTGTTGACAGTTACTCACCAAAGTTTCAGCCATTTTGGACGCGCAGTTGTTATGTAGCAGTCGTTTGAGTTAGTTGATGTGAGTGTTTTTATGAAAATGGAGAAAATCGAGTATCGAGCTGTCATTAAGTATTTGTTTTTGAAAGGCAATACGCTTACTCAAATCAAAGATGAGTTGGATTCTGTGTATGGGGACTCTGCACCATCATTTACCATAGTGAAATTTTGGGCAGCTGAATTTAAATCTGGCCGTAAGAGCTTGGGAGACGATGGAACGTTCAGGACGTCCAAAAACTGCAACTACCGACAAAAACATCGCCAAAGTTCACTAAATGGTGCTAGATGACCGCCGAATTAAAGTGAGAGAGATAGCAGAGGTTATGAACATGTCAAAAGAACGTGTTTGTCACATATTAAATCAACATTTAAACATGAGGATGCTGTCCTCGTGTTGGGTGCCGCGTTTGCTCACGTTAGACCAAAAACGTGTTCGAATGAACATTTCCAATGCTCTGTTGGCACAGTTTAGGCGCAATAAATCCGAGTTTTGGCGCCGATTAATTACTGTAGATGAAACTTGGATACACCATCATACGCCCGAAACAAAAATACAGTCCAAACAGTGGACTGCAAAAGGGGAACCGGCTCCAAAAAAAGCAAAAACTGTTTTTTCGGCTGGGAAAGTGATGGCGACTGTGTTTCGGGATAGTCATGGAGTTATTTTAATAGATTATCTTCAAAAAGGAAAAACCATTACAGGAGCATACTATGCATCATTACTTGACAAGCTGAAGGCAGAACTTGCGGAAAAACAACCACATTTGCAGAAAAAGAAAATCCTGTTTCACCAAGACAACGCACCATCTCACACCTCAGCGGTTGCCATGGCGAAAATCCACGAATTATGGTTTGAACTGCTTGACCATTCGCCTTACTCACCAGATCTAGCCCCAAGCGACTTCTTTTTGTTCCCTTATCTAAAAATTGTGCTCGGACAGAGATTTTTGTCAAATTAAGAGGCAATCACCTTCGTGAACAATTATTTTGCAGAGAAAAACGCCGAGTACTATTTGGACGGGTTCAGAAATGGGAGCATCGGTGGGAGAAGTGTGTAGAGTTACAAGGAGACTATGTTGAAAAATAAAAAAAAAATTCTGAAAAAACAGAGTCGAAAGACACCAAAATTTTATGTACAATATATTTAAATTTCAATAAATAATTTAAAAAATAATGATGTATGAAAATAAGTAGTTTATCTTGTTTGTATTCTTATCGCACGTTGCTTTTTTGTAATGGTTAAAACATTTAAAAATTAAAATAATTTAGACTTACATTCGTTCAATAAGGCCATTTTCATCTAAAGCTTGAGGTTTGTCTCGCTTATTACCAAGCACCAGGACAGGTATCCCTGCTAACTGAGGTTTATCCAGTAAATTGTGAAGTTCATTTCTGGAGGCTTCTATTTTGTCAGGATCAGCTGCATCTACCATGTAGCTAATATACAAAGGAACATGTGATGACTCATCATAAACGTCAATTTAATTTTTATGAAGCAATAGTGTAACGGTCACAAATAGATTAATTATTAACATTTATTTTAAGATGTACATATAGGTAAACCAATTTTTCACAACATGCAACAGTTTCGAAGGTAAGTAAATTATGTACATATATTTATATGGTCGTTTCACTTACACAATAGCATTTACACCTCTACAATAACGTTCCCACATTGATCTAAATCTTGGTTGTCCACCAATATCCCAAACTTTAATTGTTACATTACCCTTTGTGATTTTTCTCATATTGAAACCCACCGTTGGTATCATATCTTCACTAAATTGCCCCGACTAAAATATATAAAACAAATTTTGTTTTAAAAAATATAAGTATCAAATGTTCACAAAACTTACCGCAATAACATTAACAAATGTTGTTTTTCCTGAATATTGAAGACCAACTAATGTTAATTCCATTTCTTCTTTCCAAAATAAACTGCGAAACCAGTCTAATATCCTGTTCATTAACGCTAACATGTTGGCTGATTAAAATTAACAAACGTTTTAAATATATTCACAAATACTATATAAAATCTTTAATAAATAAATTGAAAAGTGACATTTAACACCAAACCTGTTTGTCAAATATGTCATTTGTCAAAAGTTACTCGGTTGCTACCATAGACAGTGGAAGTGGAAGTGGAGCTAACACTAAAATATTATTTCTTCTATGGAAGTTTTCCTTTCTTCTTAAAGAACTATTCTGAACATTCTATTCAATCATTAATCACATGGAGAGTCTCCCTGATTAATCAGTTGAATACATTTTGATAGATATTAAATTAATTTTCTAACATACTTTCGTTAGTTTATGTAGCTTAAAGTTCCAAACAGTCGTGATAAGTAATTAAAAACTGANGCCTTCGTAGGTGGGCCCCATCCGTCGTCTACCCCGACCGCAAATGCGGCCGGTGTAGGCGCTTTGTGGGACCTCCTTTTGTCCTGGCTGGGCCCCGCCGGCTAGGGCCCTCGGCGTAAGGTATAACATATCTATAGTTTATAATACAAACTTGGATGTCGCGCAAAGAAAACATTTGAAAAAGCATACTTTTCAGTTTAACTACTTGAAAAATGTGATTAGATAATAGCACCATATTTAGATATGTGACCATATAATTACATACATATACAAAATAAAATATCCTCTTGTAGTTAAGGGTGGCTGCACACCGCCCACGGCAGGTAACTTGTACAAGTTTAAAAATAGGTAGGTACATCCCAGGTAAGAACTAAAAATATAATTTTCTTAACATTTATTTTTTGAAGGTACAAATCTTTATTTTTAGACTGTAATATATATAATGCGCAAACTAGTTGGACTTCCAAAGAGAAACATATCGTGCGAAAATAATTATGTACTACAAAAGGACATGTGGGTACGAATATGACATATTTTTAATATAGTACCTACTTTCAAATTTAGTTCAGTTATAAGTTCCCCAGGGCACCGTCCTGTCCCCACACCTATACACCATTTACAACTCCGACATCCCACATCCCCCCAACACCAACATATACTTATACGCCGA